ATATAAATATTATATTATATATAATATATGTATATATTATATATATACTATTTACATAAGTATTTATTTAAATATTATATATCCATGTTGTATATATTGTATATTTACTGTTACATTTATATTGTATTAAATATGTTGTCTTTGTCTTAGAATTATCTACTTTTATTTCTGCAAATTTATTACAGGTTTTAATCAAACATACTATATTAATATTGAAATTTGCAAATGCAATGGAAGACAGCAAGACTGAAGAGGTGCTGTATTTATTTAAATATTATATATCCATGTTGTATATATTGTATATTTACTGTTACATTTATATTGTATTAAATATGTTGTCTTTGTCTTAGAATTATCTACTTTTATTTCTGCAAATTTATTACAGGTTTTAATCAAACATACTATATTAATATTGAAATTTGCAAATGCAATGGAAGACAGCAAGACTGAAGAGGTGCTAGATATTCTTCGACTTAACGTGGGAGGGTGTGTGTATTCAGCCAGACGCAAATCTTTATGCCGCTTTAAGGATTCAATGCTAGCATCTATGTTCAGTGGACGTTTTCCTCTAAAAATAGATGAATCTGGTAAATAAATCTAAGTTCTGTAATATCTAATATCTGTTCAGTTGGCTTTGGTATCAGTTTTCTATGATATGCGCTATTCAGTTACAGAGGTAATATATTAGTTGTTGTACCTAATAGGCAGGCACTGACATCACATTTTTTTTCAATTTTGAGAAGCACCTATGAAAGCTTTTGATACTAATAGAAAAATAAATGAAAGTAATACATAAAAAGGGACAAGAATACGTCTCAGTTAGGGCACGTCTACACTGCACGCTTATTTTGAAATAAGCTGTTCTGAAATAGTTATTCTGAAATAGCTTATTTCAAAATAGCATATCTACACTGCAGGGAAGCCTCAAAATCATCAGTAGTCTGAGGCAGGCTTCCCTAATATAGATGTGCTACCTCGATTTAGAGCCCCAGGAGGCACTGGGGAGGAATAACTTAGAATGGCACTAGTGAAGGGCTGTTTCAAAATACCAGCAGTGGAAATAGCTATTTCGGAATAGGCCTTATTCCTCATGAATGAGGTTTACAGATTTTGGAATAAACCGTCAATTGTTTCAAAATTATTTTGAAATAACAGAAGGCTGTGTAGATACTCGTATTGTTATTTTGGAATAACGCTAGTTATCTTGAAATAACAGTGCAGTATAGATGCACCCTTAATTTGAGAAGTCTCCAGAATGAAGGACACTAAGGGTGCATCTAGACTGTGGGGTTTTTCCCGGAAAAACTCTGCCGTGTTCAAGGAATGCTTTTGCTGTTCCGCTTTTTTTTGTGGAAGATCAAATGTTCTCTTTCGGGGAGCCCTGTATACCTTGTTCTACAAGGAATAAGGGCTCCTCTGGGGCTATGTCTACACTGGCGGCTACTTGCACGAGAACTTCTTGTGCAAGGGTTCTTGTGCAAGAAGTCTTGCACAAGAAAATGTCCACACTGCCATGTGCAAGCTGTGCTTTTGCGCAAGAGCGCCCACGGCAGTGTGGACGCTCTCTTGCGCAAGAAAGCTCTGATGGCCAGGGCTCGACAAATAGTGTAATATACTCGCCCATGGCGAATAGATTACACCCTGGAAGAGCCGGCGCAGAGCGATCTGCGCATGTGCAGAGCGCAGAACCGCGTGGCTGGCGAGCAGGGCTCACCGCTGCTCGGCGAGCCCTGCTGATGGCCATTTTAGCCATAGGGCTTTCTAGCACAAGAAATCCCTGCCCCGTATCCACACTGCCCTCTTGTTGAAGAGCTCCTGCGCAAGAGGGCTTATACTTGTTAAAAAAGAGCATAGCTCTTGCGCAAGAAGCCCTCTCTTACCACGCTGTACTGTAAATTTCCGTGTGCAAGAGTGGGCGGGCAGTGTGGACGTTCTGCGGATTCTTGCTCAAGAACGGCCATACTTGCGTAAGAAGCTGTGAATGTAGACATAGTCCAAAAGAGGAGGCTTTTCTGCCATTTGTGGAAAAGCCTCTTCTGGAAAAGTATTTGGAAAAAGCTATGCAAATTGCGGAGCACAAGAAAGCACAATTTGCATAGCTTTTTCCGAAAAAAGGCTATAGTGTAGACCCTACCATAAAAAGAGGATGGAATAGTGATAAAGCTGATATTTGGATAAAATCTTATGTTCTGAATTGCATGCACTTCAGATTCCGTTAATTGAGTGGGATTTGTGGATGCTAGGTAACTGAAAAAAATCAAGCCAATAGACTTCAGTTAGGGACACAACAAAATTAGAGAAAACTCTTTTTCTAGGAATACAAATATTTTGTGATTACTAGTCTCCTCTTGGCTTTTCATAATAAAAATAAAAGGCAGTGCAGCTGAAAACTTTAAAGCTAAATAATAAAGAATGATTTTCTGTTATTGTTAATGAGCTTTCTTACCATAAAAGATGTTTGAAGGGATTGATTTTAAGGGTGCAAAATAACTTCCAGAATATTTTGTTGCCAGTAAAGAAGACTGCACTTTTAAAATGGGACATAGGTTAACTTAAAAATCACTTTTCTTTGAGAAGTTTTATTGGTATTTATATGTAAGATTTGGGATGTAAAATCCTATTTAATGAATTAAACAGTTAAGTATCAAGTTTAACCAGTTAACTGATGAAATGGGGGCTGGAAGAGAGAGACCTTCCAACCCACTGGGCTGGAGCAATCCACCTGCCTGCCATGGCCAGGCTGGAGCAGCCCCCACATTGCAAGCAGAGGCTGCCTCAGCCCTGCGGTGGGTGGAAGCAGCAGTGGGTGGCGGGGAGGGAGAGGAGGAGGTGCCTCTTCCCAGCCTCTATGTGAGCAGGCCTGGTGTGGCAGCTCTTCCTCCTGTCGCTCCCACCCTCCCTCTCTTCTGTGAGCCTGCTGACTTCCAGCAGTTAACTGATAAACATCACCCATTCACATCCCTAGTAAGATTACTGTAACCAAAAGACAGAGAAAAATAGCACCTTGTATTAGGGATGTGAGTGTGTAGAGACGACTACATGATTAACCGATAAGCCTAGACTACATGCATTTCCCCCCTTGCTGCCTCTGATACAGAGGCACCAAGGGGGGGAAGTGGGAGCCAGTGCCCATGAGGAGCTGGCTTAAAAGCTGGCTCACCATGAGCACTGGATCCACCTCCCCCTCCCACGCTGCTGTCTTGATAGATCTGATACACACAGGATCCTACACAGGCAGGGGAGGGGTAGGCAGAAGCCGGTAATGGGGGGAGCTGGCTGAAAAGCCGGTTCCCCCCAGCACCAGCTCCCCAGTGCCACCTGCCTCACTCCTCCCACCCTCTGTCTCTGATAGATGCAGCAGCAGCAGGGGGGGGGGGGGGGGAGGGGCGGGGGAGGGGGCTGATAGGGGGGGGGGGGGGCAGAGCAGAGGAGCCTGCCGTGAAGTATCCTCTGTCTGCAGGGTGTCCAGATACCTGTCCATGGGGGGCCTAAACCTGAAATTAAAGGTATTTTTTTATCAGAGACAGCAGCACTGGGTTGGTGGGGGCAGGTGGCTTTGCAAATTCGGTGCTTGTGGGGAGCCGGCTTAAAAGCTGACTCCTCTCCCCCTGCCAGCACTGATCCTCCCTCCCCCATTGCTACCTCTAATACAGAGGCAGCAAGGGCGGGGAACATGTGTGTAGTTGATAGGATTAACTGATAAGCCTACGCTTATCGGTTAACCCTGTACTTGATTATGTGTTGACATCCCAAGTTTAGGCACTGATTCTTTGAAGTGATCTGTATAGACGGATCACAGATTTCTCATTAGGACTCCAAATACCATAGGACTGCATGCCAGGGATCAGTCTGTTGATCTGCAAATTAAGAAGTACTGTAGAGAAGCAAAGAACCAGTTTTAAAAGAAGTGATGATATTTTACTAAGATACACTCCCAAGCAAGATACCTGTTTAAATAACTACTTAGGAAGTCATATATCCTCGATAAATTGTTAATTGAAGGATCCATTAGATAATTTGGTAAAATATGACAAACTTCTGCCTTAAATTACAAATAATATTTTAAAATATTTTATTTTAATTTTAGGGGCTTGCCTTATTGATCGAGATGGAAACCTGTTTGAGTACCTTTTAGATTATCTTCATGGAGAAGTTCGGATACCTGAGGATGAACAAACGCGAATTGCGTTGCAGGAAGAAGCAGATTACTTTGGAATCCCTTATCCTTACAGTCTGTCTGATCACTTAAGCAATGAAATTGAGACATATTCTTTAAGGTCAAATATAGAACTTAAAAAGGTCTTGGCTTTTTTTAAATTTTAAGTATTCGAGAATTCATGTAGTTATTTGGTATCAAATAATGGTTTCAGGGTACAACTTTTGAAAAACCTGTACATACCAACTCAGAATTTCAGGGGGAAAAATAATTTTCTATTTATTAGTGTTGCTAATAGAGTGATGTTAAGGATATGGTAGCATTTTTCTTCATTCTATTATAAGGGCTTTGTATTTTTGTAACATACACATTTTCTGTAAAGCAGTATAATAAGTTAGGGATGTTAAAATGCAATTAACTACATAAATGTATAAGTGCTGTAAATTTCAGAGGTTATATGGTTACACATGGGGGGCAGGAGGCTTCCCAGGAACTGGTGAGCACTGGGAGCTGGCTTTTCATCTGGCCCTGCGCATACTGGGAGCCTGTGTGCAACCGTGAAGGTTAACCAACGAGGCTAGGCTCATCAGTTAACCATGTACACAGTTACACTTTTAAAACCCTCCTCTAAATCTGATTTTTCAGGTCCTCTGTTAAAAGTGACTTTGTAAAATTGGCATTGTGAAGTTCCATGTTTGTGTTTCAGTCACTTCATTTTTAATTTGATTACTTTACAAGATGTTTCGTGTGTCACTCTTGAAAACTTTTCCTGAGATCTAAAAAAAAATGTAATTTTCTTCTGCCATTCCATATAGCAATTGCAGTGCCACTTAGCTACACTAATTAGATATTGTAGTTCTGGGATGCATAAACAGGTGCATCTCAGAGTAAAGAAGTTATTTTACCTTTGTGTTTGGAACTGGTATGTGCTGCTGGAACACTGTCCAGTTCTGTAGCCCACTGTTCAAGAAGGATGTTGATAGGACAGGGTTCAGAGAAAAGCCACAAGAATAATTACAGGATTAGAAACATGTCTAATAATGACAGTCTCAAGGAGCTCAATTTCTTTAGCTTAACAAAGAGATGGTTAAGGGGTGATTTGATTGTAAGTACCTATCGGGTAACAAATATCTAATAATGGGCTTGTGATGGAGTGTGCACAGTCCTACACTGGGCTGGGAGGGCTTAATGCCCCGTGGGTGGAGGACGTCCCCCACCATTGCACTTGGCATGCTCCAAGGGCTAGGGTAGTATAAAAGGGAGCAGCTTAGCTCAGTCTAGGTTGGATGCTGAAGAGGAAAGACCTGCTGAAAGTTCCAGAGGTGGGCCAGCCAGAAGCCTGCATGACAGGATCCGGAGACCTAAATTGCACCTCCAGACCTGACAAAGCTGCAGGAGGAGACTGGCACTGCAGAGCCTGACGACACAGCAACTACTTGTACTGTTCCAATGCTAAATCTGGTAGGAAGTTACCCAGGGAGGGAATGCAGGACTGTTGCTGAGAGTGTGGCCAAGAGGGCACCTCTGACAAGACTGTCTGTATATGGATTGTAACTACAGCCAAGTCCGGCTCCCTGGGCACAGGGCCTGGAAACCTGGCCTGGGGAAACTGGTGACCATCTGTGGGCCTGGGTCCCCCTACTAGGGCTGCTGCCCCAAATTCCTGTGATTCTAACCATTAGGCTGTGCTGCCCTGAACCTCCAGGCTGTGTTATTGACTCTTACCAACTCTAGCCTTTAGGCTGTGCTGCCCGGAACCCTAAGGCTGTATTATAGACAGTGGCCATTGGGTTGCACTCTCATCATATTGTGAGTATGCCCCATCCCAAGTGGTGGAAAATGTGGGCATTGATCAGGACTTGATAAGAAGCCCAGGTGGAAAGATGAGGTTAGGGAAACCTCCCTATTTCTGATACTGGTGGAAGATAGATTTAGAAAAGCTCCTGAAATGAATGGTGCACAACCAACAAAAACAGGCAACCCAACAACCACAGCAACAGACTCAATTAGTACAACAGTTAGCCTGCCCGCACCAACTCCAGATGACTCAGCATCAGGAGCAGCAACAACAGCTGCTCCATGAACTGGCTACCCAACACCAGAACCAACAGAAGGCACTGGTTCAATAGATAGCAGCTCTATTGTGCCCTAGTGGACCCTATTTATTCAGTTGATGGCCTATCTATTCGGTCGATGAAGATGGGGCCAGGTGGCGATCTAGAGGCCTTCCTATTCACCTTTGAATATGTTGTTACAGCTGCCTATTGGCCTCAGGAACACTGGGCCATGTTATTGGCCTCTTATTTGATGGGATAGGCACAGATGGCCTACTTGATACAAGAGATGGCCTACTTGGGATACAAGAGAGGCTTTGCATTATGCAAGGCCGTGTGGTCCAGTATTGCAAGAGATAATATTTGATGACACTGGTATAAGCCCGAGACTTACTGTCTGCAGCTGCATAAGGAAGAGTACCCTGCGGGGGCTCAGCCCCAACACATACAGGACCATTGCAGGGAATTATTGAACTCCAAGAATTTAACTGGCCCTCAGATGGCGGAAGTGGTGGTTCAAGCAGTTTAAACAGGTGCTTCCCGGGGGAGCAAGGGAATGGATCCAGTGCCATAGGCTGACATCACTCACAGCTGAAGTGTCACTAATGGAGGATTACATGTCGGCAGAAGAGACCTGGACCTGACCCAGATGGTCAGAAAGCCCAAAGAAATGAGGCTCTGGGGAATGTATACCCACATTCTTCTTACCCTGGACATGCCAAAACCACCCATCCAGAGCACCAACAGCAAATTAACCAAATACCTGTGAGGAAGTAAAGGGTGAGGAATGTGGCTAAAGAGGCCACGTGGGACTGTTGCGGGAGTGCGGCCAAGAGACACACTTCTGACAAGACTGTCCGTATATGGATTGTAACTACAGCCAAGTCCGGCTCCCTAAGCACAGGGCCTGGAAACCTGGCCTGGGGACACTAGTGTTGCTGGTGTCTGTGGATGGAAATGCAACAATCACTTTGATGGACTCTGGATGCAGCCAGATGATGGTATAAGAGGGACTAGTCTCCAGCCTCCAACCTTCTGGGAATACGATCCACCTACAATGTATCCATTGAGATATATGACCCTAACCAACTGTCTGGGTAAAGCTTGAGGTCTGCAGCCAGGAAGAGGTCCTTCAAATAGGAGTGGTGCCCTGACCAACCTAACTCGTAATACTAGCCTGAGATTGGCCTTTGTTCAAAGAGGTGGTCCTGGAATGTGGAAATAAGCATGGCAATAAGGGGGATCCAGTGGATATAGTGTACTTAGATTTCTAGAAAGTCTTTAACAAGGTCCCTCACCAAGTAACGTTAGTTGTCATGGGATAAGAGAACGTCCTCTCATGGACTGATAACTGGTTAAAAGACAGGAAACAAAGTGTAGGAATAAACTGTAAGTTTTCAGAATGGAGAGAGGCAGCTAACGATGTTCCCCAAAAGTCTGTCCTGGGACTAATCCTATTCAACTTGTTTATAAATGATCTGGAAAAAGGAGTAAATAGTGAGGTGGCAAAATTTGCAGATGGTACTAAACTCAAGATAGTTAAGATCAAAGCAGGCCGTGAAGAACTTCAGAAAGATCTCACAAAACTAAAATGGCAAATGGATTTTAATGTTGATAAATGCAAAGTAATGCATATTAGAAAAAATAATCCCAACTACATATACAAAATGATGGGGACTAATTTAGCAATACCCATTTAAGAGAAAACAACCACTCAGTTTGCAGTGGCAGTCAAAAAAGCAAACAGAATGTTAGTAATAATTAAAAAGGGATAGAGAATAAGACAGAATATCGTATTGTCTCCATATAAATCTATGGAACGCCCACAAATTTAATATTACGTACAGATGTGGTTGTTTTATCTCAAAAAAGGTATATTGGCATTGGAAAATCATAGAATCATAGAATACTAGGACTGGAAGGGACCTCGAGAGGTCATCGAGTCCAGTCCCCTGCCCTCATGGCAGGACCAAATACTGTCTAGATCATCTCTGATAGACATGTATCTAACCTACTCTTAAATATCTCCACAGATGGGGATTCCACAACCTCCCTGGGAAATTTATTCCCGTGTTTGACTACCCTGACAGTTAGGAACTTTTTCCTAATGTCCAACCTAAACCTCCCTTGCTGCAGTTTAAGCCCATTGCTTCGTCTTCTATCCTCAGAGGCCAAGATGAACAAGTTTTCTCCCTCCTCCTTATGACACCCTTTTAGATACCTGAAAACGGCTATCATGTCCCTCCTCAATCTTCTCTTTTCTAAACTAAACAAGCCCAATTCCTTCAGCCTTCCTTCTTAGGTCATGTTCTCTAGCCCTTTAATCATTCTTGTTGCTCTTCTCTGGACCCTCTCCAATTTCTCCACATCTTTTTTGAAATGCGGTGCCCAGAACTGGACACAATACTCCAGCTGAGGCCTAACCAGTGCAGAGTAGAGCAAAAGAATGACTTCTCGTGTCTTGCTCACAATACACCTGTTAATGCATCCCAGAGTCATGTTTGGTTTTTTTGCAACAGCATCACACTGCTGAGTCATATTCAGCTTGTGGTCCACTATAAACCCTAGATCCCTTTCTGCCGTATTCCTTTCTAGACAGTTGCTTCCCATCCCAATCGTCGATGAAGATATTGAACAGAGCCGGTCCCAAAACAGACCCCTGCGGAACCCCACTAATTATACCTTTCCAGCAGGATTATGAACCATTAATAGTAAAAGGTTCAGAAAAGGGCAATAAAAATGATGAGGGGTTTGGGATGGGTTCCATATGAAGAGAGATTAAAAAGACTGTGACTTTTCAGCTTAGAAAAGAGACTGAGGGGGGATATGATAGAGATGTATACAATCATAACAGGTAAGGAGAAAGTGAATAAGGAAAAGTTATTTGCTTGTTCCCATAAGAACTAGGGGTCACCAAATGAAATTAATAGGTAGCAGGTTTAAAACAAACAAAAGGACGTTTTTCTTCATGCAGCTCATGGTCAGTCTGTGGAACTCCTTGCTAGAGGATGTTGTGAAAAACAAGACTTTAACCGGGTTCAAAAAAGAACAAGGTAAATTCATGGAGGTTAGGTCCATCAATGGCTATTAGCCAGAATGGATAGGAATGGTGTCCCTAACCTCTGTTTGTCAGAGGCTGGAAATGGATGATCGGAGGGGGATCACTTGATGATTACCTGTTTCTGTTCACTCCCTCCGGGGCATTTGGCATTAGCCACTGTCAGAAGACAGGACACTGGGCTACATAGACCTTTGGTCTGACCCAGTATGGCCGTTCTTATGCTTTCATTGTTGTTGTTGTTTTAAAGGCACAGAAGGAAAACAGTGTAGCACTCACTGTTTTAGGGTTTGTCTAGAGGATAGTTTTACTATGTTTGGTTGCTGAGTAATTCCCCTGTGACATTTGAATGTGAAAATCTAGACACCACAAACGCAAGCTCCTGATCTACTTTCTTTAGATCATTATTTTATATACTTTTATCATGCCCCTTCTTATTCTGCTCCTATTTAAAATAAATAATTATTGTCTTTAAGTTTTGTTTCCATGCCCTAATCATTCTTGTTGCCATTCTCTGAACTCCCTCCACTTTCTAATATCCTTTTTGAGGCAGGAAGACTAATACTGTACACATTCTTCTAGATTTGTTTAGTGGAGTTTATTATTAAATGAATTTGAAATAAGCTTCAGTTTGAAAAAGTGGTTGTTTAAATTTTTTTTAGTATAACATTAATCCTACATTTTATTTTTTCTAGGCTTTGGTAGACTTCTGTGATTCTTATGGCTTAGTCTGCACCAAGCCTACAGTTTGGGTTCTACACTACCTCAACACATCTGGAGCAAGCTGTGAGAGTAGAATTATTGGTGTGTTTGCCACAAAAGCTGATGGCACTGATGTACTTGATAAGGAACTGGGAGGAAGAATAAATAATAAAAATATGTACAAAAGGTAAGACAGCTGAACATGAGAGAGCGTGCTGAAATGAAACTGTCACTTCTTCAGGCCCGGATCCTTCTTTTCTGTTTGGAAACAGCTATTTCACATAGGTTGAACCTTTCTAGTCTAGTGCTTTTGGGACTTGACTGGTGCTGAACCAGAGAATTTGCCAAACCACAGTAAGTCAATATTGTCTAGCAGCATTGCCAACACTTCCACCGCTTCCTAGGTGCTCAGAAGACGTTTTGGGGTAAATTAGAGCTAAATAACAGCACAGAACACTGATAGCCATGAGTGATGGCTGTAAAAATACATTATGGGACCCTGGGAAACTTGGTCCCACCCATGATAATGGTACATCCAGCAAACTGAAATCATGCCAGTCCATGGATGTTGCTGGACCAGAGAGTGCCAGACTAGAGAGGTTCAACCTGTACACTGTTGTTACTATTGGAAATTAATAAAGTAATGATCTAAAATTAGGCAAGGAATACAATTAGAGAATGTCCACAGAAGGTGGCCATTTTACAGTTACTGTAAATCCTCATTTTGTTTCAAGGACACTTTGTAAAACATTGTTCCCTTTTAAAATTTATGTTTTCATTTAGGAAGATACTTATATTAAATAATGGAGAAAATTGCATTCATGAATCCTTAGAGCAGAAAACATGCACCATTTCTTAGTTATTAATGGAGTCACATTTTAAAATCTTATCAGACGAGACAGGAAGAAGAGAGAGACAACAGGGGAATGAAGAAATGAAGGCAAAAGGAAATTGTCTAACTTATGCTTGACATAACAAAGGACATGTACTCCCTTGTGGAATCCGTCATTATGGGTTTTTAAGTGCAGAATAGACAGTCACCAATCTAGATCAGCGGTTCCCAAACGCCAGGCCAGGGGATGAAAAAAGCCCCGAGTCTCCCCACTTCGGATTTGGCTTGCAGGGAAGAAGCTCCACATGCTGCCGCTCCCCCTTCCGCTTCTCTAATTGGGAGAACAGCAGCTCATTGACACACTGCCTGGAGACTTTCCCCACTGCTCCCACTGGCCAGAATCTAGCCAGTGGGAGGCCATGCCTTGGAAACAGTGCCTGGGAGCAGGGGGGAAAGGGGAGCACAAAGGCAAGTAAGTACCCCCCCCTCATGTCCAGACCCCACATTCCCAGTCCACTCCTGCATCCTCCCCTTGGCCAGACATGCTACCTCCTGCACCCCACCTCCCACCCACCCAGACCTTGAACCCTCACCCCCTTCTGCACTCCACCTCCCTCCCAGATCCTGCACCCCCATCCCTATCTCACTCGCTGGCAGTGCTGTCTTGCACACTGGATCCTGAGAAGATTAATCTGGCCTGAGGCCTTGAACCTCAGTCCTACCTACCCTTCCGCCCGCCATGGGGCTGGAGTGCCAGGGGAGTGAGGTGTGTCAACTTGGGGCAACATCAGTGAAGGTTGGAATTTTTTTGAGGATTTTTTTTGTTTCTCACTTGTATGATTCCCCATCTGATTTTTCTGTGGGTCAATGGGCCCTGACCCAAAAAATGTTCCCCACCCCTGCCATAAATAAAGAAAATATTGAAATCTTTTATGATGGATATAAATTAATATTTTACTTTATTTAAAATGAAGTTTGATAAACTCATATGAGAAAGTTAAACTTTTTAATCTGTTTAATAATTTAAATTAATATTTCTTTTTTTAGTGCTGAAATTAAACCATTCTCCCTAGCTGCAGCACTAGTAAAATGGAGTGGGAATAATTATGTAACTGCAAGTTTCTATTAGCAACTGGTGGTCCGCGGGAAGGTTTGCATTTAGCCAGGTGGGCCATGGACCAAAAAGTTTGAGAACCACTGCTATAGAATAAATACCTATTGCTGACAATTCATGTCAGCCGCAGGTCCAGTGAAGCTGGAGTTGGACACTTTTCCGGTACAAGTATAAGCAAAGATTAATTAGTGTAGCTGCATGCATTGCTGATGACCATTTTCATAGTGGGTATTTTTTACAGGAGACAGCTGGATCAAAGTGGTACTGATTTATGGAAATGAAAAGGGCATTAAAATATTATATCTGCTTTGGAAAAATCTAAGAAATCTTCGTTTCTTTGTGGGTAAAGGAAGGGAGTGAAATATTGTTTTGAGGCTTTCGTAAAACATGCTATTTTTAAAGTATTAACTGGATTAATCACATAGCTTTTAATTTAAAATATTTCTAGAGTGGCTGGAAGTAATGTCCAATACATCTGGAGTTATTATTCAGTGAGTGAACTGAAAAAGATGATGGATGCTTTTGATGTCTGGGAAGGGAAAGGTACAGTATTCATTCTTTTCTTCCAGCTTAGTAGTTAGGCCTCTGAAGGAAAGAATAAGAAATCCAAAGTGCTCTGTTCCTCACCAAATGACCAGAAAATTACATTTCTGAATGTTTTCTGTAACTTATTAAGTGCCACGAGGAAAGAGAACAACCTTAGTCATTCTTTGAAAAATGAGTTCTAGGTATTCCTTAAACTGAGAATGTTGAATGGAAATTAATTTTAACGGGAATTGAGCTTTACATCCTACAACATGGGTGGGCAATAAAATGGTGGTTTGCCAGGGTTAGCCCCTGGTGGGCTGCTGCTGCTATATTTGCCTGCGCTTCTGCAGATACTGGCAATCGCGGACTGCAGCTCCTATCGGTAGGGAATGATGATCTGTGGTGAACAGGAGCTGTACCTGTGGAGGCACAGGTAAACAGTGGGGAGGGGACCCACTAGGGGCTAACCACGGTGGGCCTGATTTGGCCCATGTCCTACAAGCTATTGTATATACTCTATTATAGCCAATTTCTGTTGGTAAAAAAAATCACACTGTGAAGGGTAGGGGTCGTTTTATGATTGGGTCATTGTGCTTTACATTTTTTTTCCATTGCGGGGGGTTGGCAGACTTTAGTTCTCAGCCTAGCAGGGCAAATCACTGGTGCACCAAGAATGTTTTATGTAGCTGGAGTGTCTGTAGGCACAGATCCCCTCAGGTCCCAGTCACTGCCATTCGCTGTTCTGGATCAATGGGAAAGGTGGGAAGCGGTGGCCAGCACGTTCCTTGGCCCGCACTGCTTGCCTCTGCTCCCATTGGCTGGGAATGGTGAACAGCAGCCAATGATAGCTAAGACGCTCCAAGTGCACAAACATCCCAGCATGCCAGCAGTTTGCCCTACTGGTCTGGGAACTGACCATGCTGTGGACTCTGCTGTATTTTAAAAGTTGGAGTCAGAAGAGACACACAAAAGTTTTAGTAGATTTATTTTAATGCAACCTAACAAAAAACCTGCTGTAATAACTGAACAAATATGTATTCACATACCTTCAAAATGACAGTCCACGTTTTAACGTCTTATATCATTTTAATGCACATACTTAAAGTCTTAAAACCCTTCAAACTCTGAATCAGTCTGCAATTCACCATACAATTCATTAAACTCAGCTTCAGTCATAGCTGCTCCTGCATTGTCATCATAGATGTAAGCAATGTCGTCCTCAGATTCAGATTCCTTATCAGCCTCCATCCTGTCATCAGCAAATGTGGCATTGTCTTCTGACCCATCAGGCACATTGCTGATATATTTCCTAAATGATTTTTCTATCGTTTCCAAGGGAATGGACTTCCATGCATCCTTGACCCACTGAGCAACCATATTGACTTGGGGCTCCATCAGATTCCCACCTTTTGTCAACTTCGCCATGCCTGAGCACATCTAGACAGACCACATTTTGCGTAACCTGACCTTAAAGGGTTTGTTCAGGCAGACATCAAATGGTTGTAGAACAGAAGTTAAGCCTCCAGGCATAACAGCCAAAGTATTTTTCATTTTTTTTGGCCACATGTCTCACCTCATCTGTCCTGTGTGCCCTGAATGGGTTCCAAACAATCATAAAAGGTTTCTTGAGAAGTGCTCCTGGTCTCTTATTCCACATTTTTTCCAGCTATTCGATAGACCCGCTTTCATCCATCTATTCCTTTTCATGTGCATGCACAATGACACCCCCTGGAAATTTCATAGTTTTAGGCAAGAGTTTTCTTTTGAAAACAATAACAAGGTGGAGCTTTGATCTATTGGCCAAACATGTAAAATGGATTTTTTTCATGGCCAGTGGCTTTAATTAAAACTGTTTTTTTCACCAATACCAGTTACTATTCTGTTGCTCAAGAGATCAAATGTCATCAGTGTTTCATCCCTATTTCCTATTTATGACAACTCAAACGCACATTACTTTCAATATTTTATATCTTTGGAAAGATTCAATTTTTCTTCAAGGTCTCTTGGAAGCTTTAGTACTATCTTCTTTTGCTGCCGAAGACAGAGACCATGATGGTTCATGAAGTGAACACACCAACCTGTTAATGCAAGCTTTTCTGACTTGTTTTTGTTGTCTTTGACATTTGCAAAGCATGCAGTTGAATTCCAGTTCTAGTGACAAGGTACCCATTTTGTCGACATTCAACAACCCGATCATTGAGATCTTTCTCCAACTCAGGAAATGAAGCATGCCTTGTTGGACATTTTTTCTTGCTTCTTGGCATGTTTTTAGTGTTGCTTTATTTTTTCGTGGTTCTCTTACCTGCTTCTCTTGGATATAGAATTCATGAACAGCATTACAATTATTGTTTGCTTCTGATTATTCAACAACTTTAAGTTTAAATGCTGCATCATAAGCAAGCCATTTTCTTTTGATTTCACTATTGTTCATTTTAAATTATGGTATAACATTTTCAGAAAATAATTTATAGACTATAGAATTTTACAGAGGAATGTCACTTGCTTTATCACTGTCAAATTATAATTGTTCATTGTTTATTTCAAAGAAGCTCTGCAGATTGGCACGTCTGGGGCAATAACAGGCTATTTAAAATTTATTAAAGATTTCATCGATTCTGCACATTATATGTTCAGATTGCTTAAGGTGAGTCGACACTGCACCCTTAGCTCAAAATAAGCTACGCAATCTGAGCTATGCAAATTGCGTTGCTTATTTCAAAATAGTTTATTTTGTAATTTGGTGCTGTCTACAAGGTGCCAAATTTCAAAATAAACCACTCTTCCAAAATGTCCTTTAATCCTTGTGGAACAAGGTTTACAGAGACATCAGAATAGCACACCCATTATTTTGAAAGATATTTTGAAATAATGGGCGTGCAGTCAAGACTGGGAATAACTATTTTGGGATACCGGAAGTATCCCGAAATAGCTACCCCATGACTACACAAGCTGCCCGGTATTTCAAAATATTTTTCGAAATAACGGGCGTGCTGTTTCGGTATCCCTGTAACCCTCATTCCACGAGGGTAAAGGGATGTCTTGAAATCGTGCATTATTTCGAAATCTGGTGCTGTGTAGACATGCCAAATTTCAAAATAAGATATTTTGAAATAGAATTGAAATAAGATACGCAATTCACGTAGCACAAATTATGTATCTTATTACGAGTTAAAGTGTTGTATAGGTGCACCCATAGAGACTAAGAAGGTCCAGTGGTCAACATGCAGGAAGAGATCAAAGTGCTCATAGCAGACTGACACCAGTGCCATAGTACTATTATTCATTGTATTTTTCTGATTGTCTTGTAAGTTCTAGCATTTTGTGATGTGGAAGGGTCAAATTTCATTTAGATACAATTTAAATAAAAATAAAATGTTAGCACTTTTTTTCAAAGAAACGAGTCCTGAATTGCATCTGCAACAGCGGTCAGCAAACTTTGGCTCCCAGCCTGTTGGGATAAATCACTGGCATGCTGGGAGATTTGTTTGCTTGCAGAGTTTGAGGGATGTGTTAGCTGGAGACATGGAGCCTCTCAGCTTCCATTGGCTGCTGTTTTCTGTTTCCAGAAAGCCTTTTTCAACAGATCCTGTAAACCTCCTTACAGGAGGCATAAAGGATCTGTCAAAAAATGTTTCTTTCTCGACAGATCCCCCTCTAGACTGCTGCTTTTTGTGCAAAGTGCTGAGTCGGCAAAACATGGTGGCCATTTTTATGCAAATTAAGCATGGGATATTTAAATCCCTGCCTCATTTGCAACGTCTACCTGCCTAATCTGCATCCCTCTGCTGACAGAGGGATGCAGTCTAGACATACCCTAAGAGACACGCAGTATTGATATATAAATACTTGTCAATTATAGTTCTAAAGCAGAGATCTTGAATATAACAACAATTTTTAGCACTTACATATGTACACATGCTTTTAGTATGTTTCCTCAGATGTTGTTAAGTATCTTGTCTTAGGAACTTCAGGTTTCAGCTACTGGAGAATGCCCCAGCTGATTGAATGTTGGACTCTTGAAGAACGCCCTTTAAAAGGAAGTCTACATCACATGTCTCCAGTTCGTAAAAGGTATATTTACTGATTCAAACTCCGATGCTAGAGATCCACTGTAGAATGCACTACTGCTTTTGTAAAAGACTAAGTTGTTTTCTCTTACAACTTTTAGACACTGTTTAAGTAATCTTTTGGAATAATGATGAACTTTGATTTTCTGTTTTTCATTCTTCCCTGTCTCTTCATTACACATTTCCTTTTTTGATAATCTTATTTTCATCAAGGGGAAGAGAACTGGAAATCTGACCTTAGTAGAAAAAAATAACTTAATTTTGGCCTATGGGAATGTTTTCCTTATTCAGTAGTCCTACCCTACAAACACACACTTTAAAATGGGCAGAGGAGGTTCCAAATTTTAGAGTGAAGATTTTTTTTTTGTTACTGGTCCAGTTATCTGAAAACTGTCCTAAAGTTTAATTATTCACTTGTTTATTTCTCTTACGTTCCCTCACCTCCTTAAATATACCGGTATGAATTAATTATAGGTAGAGGGTTTGTATATTTCTTATCTCTCTGCTCCTTCCACAACTTTTTCCTCTTCTATATTTTGTTCTTTCTTCTGTTAAAGTTTCTCCCTACTTTAACTTTTTTTGATGGTCCTCCAGCATATCCTTTCATTCTTACTTTGTTCTGAAAGATCCCATGTAAAAATTATCCCTGCATTACTCCTAGTATATTGTTGATGTGGTGTTTCTCAGATACCCAGAACTCGTGACCACCTTGTTACCCCATGCCTCTAGGGTAAGAGTGGGGAACCAATTTTCCATCACAGGCCATTAACCAACAGAAAAAAATTAGTTTCAGGCTACACACGAGCAAACACAACATAATTTAGGTTTTTTAAGAAAAAGAAATATAAAATGTTCAACTCACCTGCCCAGGGAGGGGTGGAAGCTTAGGGCTTCCAGCCCTCAGCGTAGAAAGCTAGGGCTCACAGCATTAGCTCTGTGGGGAGTAATGGAGACATCCCACAAGCTGGATGATATTAAGCAACAGGCCAGATCCAGCCTGTGGGTCATATGTTCCTCATCCCTGCTCTAGGGAGACTAAGTCTTTCTTGTGGTAGCTGGGTGTCAGTTCCCTTGTTACCCTGACCCTTTTAGCCACTCAAGATCTCTTCACTGGATTATGCCAGTGCTAACTTCACCTTGCAGACTAACAATTAGTACACCCCTATTCCAAGGCGTTTAAAAATTATTGACAAAGTGATATAGGCTTCACTTCAATGTTTGTGCTCCCCATTTACCCCTTGCCCAGAAATAAATTTCTAAATTCTCTCTATGACCTACTTTTAGTTTCAATACAATATAGTCTTTGTCAACCTTAAATGTTCAAATTTCATGATCTGCTGTTTTAGTATAACTTGGATTTCCACCAGTTTTATTTATGTTATATCCCTGATGAATTTAAATCTTCCTGGCATCTGTTCATTTTCCATTGCTACAGAGATTGAGAGAAAGTGTTTGTTGACCATTGTAGAAAAGCTAGCTACTTCTGCCAAGAACATACATTTGCCTTTTTTGTGATATCCTATTATCCTATAATCCTATTTACTTACCTTTCAATTTGTTCTCTTGAAAACTTTTAGTGAATCCTTCTTTTCATTTGTGATCTTTGCTTTTCCTATAGCTGTATTACACTCTTTAATTTGGTAATCTTGTCAGTTCTCCTGTCTACCAGATATATATTGTTAACACTTTTTAAAAACATACTGAGACTTTATTATTGGGTGTCACATGAGATCTTTGATCATACCCTAATTTAGCTGAATATTTTCAACTTCTCTCAGGGTATGTCTACACTACCACCCTATTTCGAACTAGGGTGGTTAATGTAGGCAACCGAAGTTGCAAATGAAGCCCGGGATTTGAATTTCCCGGGTTTCATTTGCATCTTGCCGGGCGCCGCCATTTTTAAATCCCTGCTAGTTCGGACTCCGTGCCCGCGGCTACACGCGGCACAGACTAGGTAGTTCGGATTAGACTTCCTATTCCGAACTACTGTTACTCCTCGTGGAACGAGGTGTACTGGTAGTTCGGAATAGGAAGCCTAATCCGAACTACCTAGTCCGTGCCGCATGTAGCCGCAGGCACGGAGTCCGAACTAGCGGGGTTTTAAAAATGGTGGCGCCCGGCAAGATGCAAATGAAGCCCGGGAAATTCAAATCCCGGGCTTCATTTGCAACTTCGGTTGCCTACATTAACCACCCTAGTTCGAACTAGGGTGGTAGTGTAGACATACCCTCCCTGTTTTAATTTTCATTTCTCTCCTTTACTGCTCTCTCATACATTTTCAGCTGATGCTTTCTGCATATCAGCTCCTTTTTAAGATATACTTTAATGGTGGCTCATAACTTTGAGCTGCATAAAAGTGTAAATACACCTGACACTGGAATTAACAAAATATCAGATTTGAGAGTGAATGTTGGAGAAAAGCTATTTCATAATTATAGCTTAATTATGTGTGATGTATAGAATAACTAAAATACTTAGATTGCTACTTGTTTTATAGACGATTAATAGACTTTACTGAAGAGGAGGAAGATGGCCAGAACTTTAAAGCTGGTCCTAAACCAATTAGATTTTCCGGTCCCTCAACAAGTACCCGCATCAAAGTCAAGAACTCATCTTCATTAAAGGTAGCTGCCAGTAACACACCTTCACATTCTGTGGTAACTTTTAAGCGACCGAGCAGCGATAGTTTGATACAGCGCAAAGTAGTGCTAAAAACTGAATCTCCAACATGCATATCATTGCCTACAAGTTCTCAGGCATCTTATGAAACTGAAGATGTTGAAAATGAGGCAACATATCAAACTACCTTCAACACTTCAATGTTTAAGAAACCCACAGCCACTCGTGTGGTAAAACTGAAGCGGACTCCACTGTGTATTGCATCACCATCTCAGGCATCTTCCTCACCGAGTACAACAGGTGAGCAGGAAGTTCCTGCTGTTGAAAGTCCTACTACTTCTACATCACTAAGAGAGGGAAAAAATCGGATATATCAACAATGAATAGGAAGATCAATAACAATTTGGAGAATGACAAACTTGATGATAATATTTAACTCCTTAGTCCAGGGAGCAGAGACTTCCAAGCATGATCTGCTAAAAGAAAAGTTTCTGACTCTCGTGTCAAGGGACAAACACACATCTGGGACTATAATTTATTGCTAGAACTGGTAAGAAATCATGGAGAAAAATAGTAAAAAATACATGAGCAAAAGGTTTTAAAATGTGTAGTTAGTTGTGAGTGTTTTTACTTTTAACCTTTTGGGACGGGGGCAGGATGTGTGGATTTTGAAAAATATTTTTGCAATACACTCTCATAGACTCATAGACTTTAAGGTCAGAAGGGACCATTATGATCATCTAGTCTGACCCCCTGCACAATGCAGGCCACAGAATCTCAGCCACCCACTCCTGGAATAATCCTCTCACCAATATCTCAGATATTGAAGCCTTCAAATAGTTTAAAGACCCCAAGATGCAGAGAATCCTTCAGCTGTGATCTGTACCCCATGCTACAGAGGAAGGCGAAAAACCTCCAGGGCCTCTGCCAATCTACCCTGGAGGAAAATTCCTTCCCAACCCCAAATAAAAAGTTTTCTATAGTAACTCCTATCGTCCCTCCATTGGCCTATTTACCACTGATAATGAAATCATTATCATGGTAACATGATTAGTTACCAAGATCATGTTATCTCAACAAACCATCCCCTTCATAAACCCATCTAGCTTTATCTTGAATATTTACTTAAATCACGTTGCCATGGTGTTACTGTCTTTAAAAAATAGAATATACCCCACACATAAGCAAACCAAACCTAGCTGACTCAGTTATAAAGGTCAAGATTTAAAAAAAAAATTGAGACTAAAAGTTAGGTTTCTAATTTATATTTTTAAATAGGAAGGGGGGGGGGGGGGGGAGATCCAGTCTTGGATCCCCCCTCAGTCTTCTTCTGTCCAGATTGGTAAAATACTAGACATTGTGAAGGTGTCTGAATTACCAAGAATAAGGAGCAGGGTTGCTGGCTTCAAAGTGCTTTTTGGGGAGACTATAGGAAGAGCAGTTTAACAGCAATGATCATCCCATCTGCCATAGAGGAGGAACTAAGAAATGTAAGGTGAAATAGCCTGTCATAGCAGCAACTGGGCAGGTTCTTTTCTTAGAATTGAGACAACCATACATGTATTACACTTCCAAGGGAGAGTGATCTCCAGTAGGAAGTTACATGGATGAGCTAGGCTTAGGTTATGTTGCTTAGGAACTGGAACATGCCTGGCATCACACGGCTGCAGTCCACCCTGTCCAGCAATTGCAGGAAGGCTCTTACACCAGACACACAGCTGTGATTGACTTGTTCTCCCCCGCTCCCTTCAGAGACAGGCTCAGCCTCTTTCCAGCTTAGGAAACAAAACAGTAGAGTTTTACTTTGAAAAATGAATAAACAGCAAAAATATGAGGCTGCGTACTGCTTTTAGTTGCACGAGTGTACATTTGTACTAACTCAAATGAAATCACTTGGTGCTTCAGATTTACCCCAGTGTAGCAAACAAAATTGTATGCCAATGTTTTGACAAAGTGCCTTGATTTTTCTTGGATGTTTAGACCAATATTACTTAATGTGATTCAAATAGTGCATATCTTTGCTGGTCTTGCTTGACTAAAAAGAGTTTTAACATTGCCACTCCCAAGTGTACAAAAATCACATGATGGAATTTAATCATGAGACTTGTAAAAATATGTTAGGAAGTGCATTTTTTTCAAGATCCGCAGCCACGAAGGCTAGAACTTCCTGTACCTCCTGTAGCACAGGTGCTAAGAAAAACATCAAATATCATGGGATTTGGCAAAACTGACTTACATTCTGAAGGCCAGGTAGATGACCCAAGATAGAAACTTTGATATTTTTTAATGAAAGTTTAGATTATATAGAAAAGAGCAAACATTATGGAAAAATACTTAATTTGTATAGTCTGCCATTTCCTTCTGTCCATTGGCCCTAGAGTCTAGAATATTTCTAGATGTTTGAATGAAAAATCAATGTTTTCATATATATTCAATTTTGATTACTCATTATTTCATAATGGCACTGTTTGTAGTGTACAGTACTTTTAATCTTTCTTGAAATGTATCAAGACTATTTCCTTCCTACCTGCTCTTCAGCGTTTGATGCTTTTAAACTATTTTAAAAGATACACTAAAGGTCAGCAATAATCTGGAATTATTTTATGCACACATAAAAAATGCTTCAAGAAAAATCTTATGCAATTTTATGTGCTGGCATCAGTTTACTATTTACTTTAGGTCATCTTTCCTGAGAATAAAGTACTGTTTAAAGTATTATTATTAATTATAATAATTATTATTAATTATGACTGCCAAATCCATAGTACTCAGAAGCCTGAGCTGTGCAGCACAAGACTGAAATAAAAGGCAGCAATGGCACCTGAGGATGGAGGAGACATAATTAAATAAATAAATGATAATAGCCTTAGAGGCACTAATCTAATCCATCAAACTAAATAGGCATTGCTGTCATTTTCTTGTTAACGTGTGTCAGCTCTCTGGGCTGTTTGAAAACACACAATTCTGCTTACACAATGTTTGGCAGCACAAGTGTTAAGTATGCAGAAGAGTACTATTCCAAGTTAATGCTTAGAAAATCATTCACATGTGACTGAGCATGTGGCTGTGAGACAGAAGCCTGTTATCACCAGCTAGTACATGTGATTCATACAGCTGCAATTCAATGAACTGCTTCAGAAAATGGAGTATTGGTTTATACTATACTTAACTGAAACAAATTGATGTTATTTCATATGATAGGCACATGTTCATATTGGTAGTGCTAAAAAGTAATTCATGAAAGCGCCACGGAAATATTACCGAGATAGTAGTTGGTATTGGGTTTATCTGTTAAAATAGTGTAGGAAGGTCTTTAACAACATGCAGAGCAAAATCATTTTTATAAACAAATATGATGTTACTTGAAGGGAAAATGCATGTTTTCTGAACCCAGCGGTATGCTAGCTCAGTCTTGTTTTTATGTCATCTCTTCTGCTCTGCTAATAATATAAGCTATGCCTAGCCATTTGTATGCTTCTCTTGGAAGAGACCTCAGATCGTCGAGTCCAACATCCTAATCAGGACCAATACTAAATCATCCCAGCCAGGGCTTTGTCAAGTTGAGACTTAAAAACAGATAGAGATTCTGCCACCTCTCTAGATAACTCATGCCAGTGCTTTTCCACCCTCCTAGTAAAATAGTTTTTCCAACTTAGTCTTCCCCCACTGCAGCTTGAGACCATTACTCCTCGTTCTGTCATCTGTCACTACCGAAAACAGCTTCTCTCCATCCTCTTTGGAACCTCCCTTCAGATAGTTGAATCCTGAAAACCACTAGTCCAGGGGTTCCCAAACTTTTTGACACAGTGACCAGTAAATCCATTCACAAACTTTTGGAGGACTGGTAATGTTCATTTGCATATTTGCATATTCATTAATCAAAAGATGAATATTCAAATAAGTTGTTTCTAGTCTTCCCAAAACCCCCAGTGCCAGCTTTAGCAAAGCTTTTGATATGGTCACCCACAATATTCTTGCCAGCAAGTTAAAGAATATGGATTGGATAAATGGATTGTAAGACAGACAGAAAGCTGGTTACACCAGGGTTTCACAGACTTTATACTTTAATTGGAACCCTTTTTTTTCAGTTCTGCTTTTTGCAGCCCAAAAATAAAAACACATAAAAAAACAAACTGAGAAAATACCAGACATATAACACGTCTGGTATTTTCTCAGTAGGTACGTTGTATTATTACTAGATGTATCAGTTTGTAGTTTCCAACTGCCTGGCTGGTAAATGTGCTCAGGCTGCAGGAGTGTGTCTACCAGCCAGACAGTTCGCAACGACT